ACAACCAATGAGTTTCGCACCTTTAGGCAACTCAATAAGATCCCAAACGTCGTTGTCTTTCATAGATTGCATCTCATCTTTCATGACATCAATCCATTTATGAGCATTAGAGTTTCTCTAGTGGATCTCCTTAATGGCAATTCTTGAGTTTGTTCTATAGGTGGCATAGGGGGTGTTTCATTATTGTCTTGACCCAAAGCAATGTCAGGGACCAAAGCTTGTTCCATAACAATGTCATGAACAGGGACCTGATCATTAATTGCTTGTTCCGTAATTGCATCTTGTATGATGACAATATTAGGAAGAGAAATATAATTTTCTTCCTTATCAAAGACAACATTCCTTATTTTATCTTCCCCCCAAACTCAACATCCTCAAGGAATCTGACATTTTCCGTCTCAAAAAAGGATCTTGTTGTAGGATTATAAAACTTAAAGCCCCGAGAGCGTTCAGCATATCCAACAAAATATCAGTTGATTGTTCTTGAGTCCAACTTTCTTTCATTTGGCATATAAGGCCTTGCTTCTGCTGGACAACCCCAAATGTGTAAATGCTTTATGCTAGGTTTCTTTCCATTTCATAGCTCATAAGGGATTTTTGTCACTGCTTTGCTGGGAACCCTATTAAGGATATAAACTACAGCCTTTAGTGCTTCTCCCCAAAGTGATTCTGGCAATGAAGAATGACTAAGCATACTCCTCACCATGTCTTTAAGAGTCCGGTTTCGCCTTTCCACAACACCGTTCATGCTAGGTTTACCTGGCATTGTGTATTGCGGGACGATTCCACACTCCTTTAGGAAGATCGCAAAAGGCCCTGGACGTTGTTCACCTGATCCATCAGATCTACCATAGTATTCACCACCACGATCAGATCTAATGGCCTTAATTTTCTTGCCCAACTGAAGTTCAACTTCAGCTTTAAATTCTTTGAACACATCCAATGATTGTGACTTCTCTCTAATCAAATATAGGTATCCAAATCTTGAATAGTCGTCTATGAATGTGATAAAGTATTGTTGACCATTCCAAGAGGCTATAGGAAATGGTCCACAAATATCCGTATGAATCAATTCTAAGACGTCTGAAGCTTTGTTGGAACCTATTTTCCTTATGTTTGTCTGTTTCCCCTTTATGTATTCAATGCACACCTCAAAATCATTCAGATCAAGGGGTTCAAGAATTCCATCAGTCACAAGCCTCTGAATTCTTTGTTTAGAGATATGACCTAAACGCTTGTGCCACAGAACCAGTACCAACAAACTAAAGTGAGAGTCATACCCTTCTTTTCGCGCCATGCCTTGTATTTGGAACACTCTTTCTTCATGTGTCCAAATTTCTTACAAAAGAAGCAGGTGAATTCCTGGTCCTGCTTTTTTTGCTTCTTTGGCAAAGCATCCGCATTATCCTTAGCTCTCTTTCTTTTCTTGTCTTGAGAGGTTGATGCCAAGTGAGCACTATCAGTCTTCTCTCGCTGTAACCTCTCTTCCTCTTGCACGTAGTGAGAAATGAGCTCATTAAAAGTCCTTTTTTCCTTTTGAGTGTTATAACTCACCACAAATTGACTATATTGTGCAGGAAGAGAGATAATAACTAAGTACATGAGCAACTCAGAGGGCAGCTCTAAGTTTAATGCCTTTAGTTTTCCAGCAAGATTAGACATTTCCATAATGTACTCCCTTATGTTTCCCTTTCTTTTATACCTCATGTTTATGAATTTGGACAAGGTTTGACCAAATTCAGCCTTTTCATTTCGAGCAAAGTATTGCTCGAGTTCCTTCAGAAACAACTTGGCATCAGTAGTCTCAACAATTGAGCCCCTAAACGCCTCCGGAACGCAACGTTTCATGATCATCAGACACATGCGATTTGAGCGTTCCCACTTCTCAATTTTATCCGTGTTTGGAGTTTCCTGAGTGGAAGTGGATTTCTCAGTCCTTAGTGCATTGTCGAGATCCATGCAGCCGAGAACAATTTCCACAACTTGAAATTTGCCCCATTAAACATTGGAAGCGTATTCATTTGAGAAACATAATTGGCAACGGTAGCAGAAACTATCTCCAGAGAACAAAATAAGATAACATACTAATAACATGTCATATCATATAAATATTCAATCACCATCATAAATAAATTACATACATGATATAGACAAATAATCCGAAGTAAAATGAGTTTATTATAAGATACCTAGCACAACATTAATATTTAGTCTGTGGACAAAAAATATCAACTTGTAAGTGGTATTCTTAATGTAGTAATCAAACATTGACAATAAGTCCTGTCAAATCATAGCCTTCTTGTGGGCCGACTATGAATTACATGGAGAATTCTTGATTATTGTCACATATATATTACCACAGGTATGTTTGTTACTTGGCCAAATAATAACCTTCCTGTGGGCCGATCACTATCCGCATAAGCAATAAACACACACATGATCACACAATATATGTTATTTGGTCAAACAATAACCTTCCTGTGGGCCGATTATTATTTGCATAAATAAAATATATTTATATGACCAACCTATTTGAAATCAAATTAACCTTTATAAATTTGGCCACTGTGGCGGCTAACAAATCTATCATATTTAATTTCAAATAGAAACCTTTAGGGATAATAAACCCATTTAAAAACAAAATAACAACAATAAAGAAAATTATTCTTTATCAATCCTCAATGTATATACATACATACTATTTTTGGATATTACATGGAATCGAACAGCAAACCTAACACCCTCAAAACACACCCAACACCACTAGGCTATCCCTAGTGGTCTATGCATACATACTATATCATTATACCATTAACAATAAATACCTTTTCATTATAAGGCTTAAAAAATGATGCACAAACAACGTACATGTAAGCCTTTTCAAATGAAAGCTTGAAAATGCTGCATACAATAAATACATTTTCATTATAAGGCTTAAAAATTAATGCACAATCGACGCACATGTAAGCCTTTTCAAATGAAAGCTTGAAAATGATGCACACAATAAATACCTTTTCATTATAAGGCTTAAAAAATTAATGCACAATCGACGCACATGTAAGCATTTTCAAATGAAAGCTTGAAAATGATGCATAATACCCAAAAAAAATAAAATTATATTTAGATTTTAACAAAGAATATCAAATATAAGGAAAACCCCAAAACCAAAAACCTTAAACATTTGATTTCTTTCAAACCATAAGTCCAAAATTGTCTAAGAGAATTCATTGTTTATTCAAAAAATTCAAACAACAAAATCTCATCGATTATAAAGCCAAAATTCTTCCAAACATTCCATCTATTCACAGATTTAGAATTTAAATAATAAACCCTTATTAAACTGCGAATCCTAGTTTTTTTTTCTAAAAAATGTAGCTTTTGTTCCAAAACCAAAAAATCACCGTCCGGGAACAAAAATAACACTACATAGCTAATACAAAATACATAAGATGGAACCCATGTTCAAAATATAATAAACTTTATGCCAAAAGACAATAAAACAAAACTTTTCATGATTCATCATATATAAAAATCACAAAACTTAATTTCCTCATGTTCAATATGACGATGGCTCTGATACTAATTGTTGGAAATTTTTTAATTCCTCTAAACCTTTTGGTGATAACTATCACCTACAAGCCAAGCTCCATCATACCAAATCATAAAGAAATAAGAGCATAAAGGTGGAGGCATACCTGTCTCCATTGCAGCGGAATAACTTTGATCTTGTCTCTTGGGGTTTGTAGTTTTCCTCAGTCAAATCACCCTAAAACTGAATTTCTTAGTGTGCCGTCTCTCTCTTGATGGAGAAGAGAAACTAGGGTTGTCATTTGACATCTGGGGGACCATAACCCTTATAGTGTTTTTATCTTTATTGTTGGGCCAATAAGCTCCCATTATACCTAGTTGGCCCAACACCGGTATCCACTCATTCAGCCCATACTCACTTAGGAATCTATTTGGGAATATTTAACTGATCACTTTAATTTACCCAATATATATAAATAGCACAATATAATTAATAATATAATATGTGACCCACAATAATTATTAGAAAATATAATTTCCTAACACCAACTAACTATGTATGCTTGTCTCTGTTGGACCTTTAAACTATTTTCCCCATTTTTTTAAGCCCGTTAAGAATTTTAAGAGCTATGACCTGTGAAATAGAAAAGAAAAATTTGTAAATTTCTTGTAATGCATTAATATTAATATTAATATTATATATATATATATATATATATATATATATATTTATATATATTAATTACTTTGAAAAATAATAGAAAGAAAAATAATTTGCTTCACAATTACTTCACGTGATTGTGAAGTAATTTTAAATTATTTTGAAATAAAAAAGTTAGGCCGACACGCTCAATAAGGAGGGTCCAGCCAATAAATACAATGATCCATATGAATTAACATATCCCGAGTTAACATTTTTTTTTAATCATAGTGTAATTCTTGTTATTTTGCTCCTTTATTTCCCTCACCACCTTTGAACCGCCTCGTGCAAATCCCTTTCATAGAGAAAAATTTGATGTCCTAGAACTATTGAATTCGGTGCTTTTTTTTTTTTATTAAAAAGTAAAAAAAAAAAAAAATCTTTTTCTACCCATACTTTTTTTATATATCTCAGTAAGTTCTAATACATTCCCTTTTTAATATAAGGGAGTACCGAGGTGTACCAAAGTTTTTCTCCATTGAATGGATTTAAGAGAGACCAGGGCCATTAAATAATACTAACTTGGAGGGGTTAGAGTTAGGGATTCTCCTCCCCAAATTCACACAAACTTTTATATTAATACACAAGGCTAGCATGATGGGCTGGCCGCTTAAATGCCCAGTTGAGGCCTAATTAGTCAGCATTCTATGGATAAGCACATGTTTTTTAATAGCGGATGTATTGGCTAATGATTTTTGACTCATTTTCGTTCTCTCTCATCATTAGAGATATTATTCCACCTTTATAAATCCCTCCTCTTTAACAAAGGAGAAGCTGATTTCTAAAGCCATAGTTGCCTTACTTGCATCTCCCTTTGGCAGTCTCATGCAAGAACACCTTCTGTGACTGTTTTTGAGTTTTGATCCATAATATTATTACCTCTTTAAGCTCTTATGAATTAAGATGTTACGTCCCTTGAAAAATATGGACCTAACTCTTAATCCACCATAATTCACACTTCATGCTTTAAATGAAAATAATGAAGTATAAATTTACCATGAGCTCAGCCTATCAATATTTATTTTTATTTTTCGTTATGTATGAATTTTTTTTTAAAATTTGTTCAAATCTTATTATGTATTCATCCTTTGCCATTCTCATAAAATTTTCTATTATTGGTTAAATCAATGTTAATAGGGATAAGTTATTCTACCTATCATTTTTTCTGCTTATCTTTGTCTATCACTCTCTAACATCGTTAGATCAGAATCCCAATTACATTTATCATTTCTCTCTCCTATTGAAATTCTGATCTAATGATATTAGATAGTGATAGACAAAGATAGACAAAAAATAATAGGTAAAATAATCTATCACATTGTTATCAAAAAAAAAAAAAATCTATCACATCTTAAAAACAAAATTGGAGTCTGTATCTTGCACAATTGGCATCTTCTAAATAATAGACTTGAGAGTAAGACAAGCCAACGATCCATGCTAATCCAAGCTTTTCATAATATATATATATATATATATATATATATATATATATATATATATATATATATATATATATATATTTTTATTTATTTATTTATTTTTTTTATTTTTTTTTTTTCTTGATTTTGGGTTCACCCTCTAGTACTATATTAGGGGACCACCAAGCAGATGTGGTCCATCTTATGTCAACAATGACATGGCGGAAAACCTTACCAGTTTCCTCCTGGGCCTAGGCATCAGGGTCCTCTGTTTTGTTGCTTTTACTTAGCCGGAGAAGTTGACCAAAATGCAAGAAAACAAGAAGGTTACTAGGTTCTTTTATTGAGATATTTTCATATAAAAACACATATAAGAACAATATCATTAAATTAGAATTCAATGTTAGATAAAATAAAAGGTTATTAACATAATAAGCTCATAGAAATCAAAATAGTCATTGAAACAAACCTTTAACACTTCTCATCCAATATGAAAAAAAATATAAATTAAGATCATTGGAGCTTCAAGTCCTAAAATATAAATTAAAATAGCTGGTTTGAGGGTGAAGATTGAGTTCCTAAGAAATGAACAGAAGTACTTTTGAAATATAAATGGAAGAGAGAAAAAAAAATTCAATCATGAGATAAAAAAAAAACTCATTAAAATTTTCCAAAATGAGAAGAAAAAGATATAAAAGACAGGTATAAAAAGACACTTTAAGACACCTGAATACATTATTAATAATTTCTAGCTAGATGCTACTCAAATATTTTGCCATTTCATTGCTAGACTAGAGAGTGCCAAATTAGAGGAACCATGTTCACTCAGTGCAGCAACAGCACCATCACTCAATTCTTTGATTCTTTTGTGCATTTCCAAGCTTTCGTGTCCTTCCATGACTCTCTTAATAACAGTAGCAATTTCCTCTCCTTTTACTATGCCACTTTCATCAACCTTTGGCCTCACAGCCACTTTGAGCACATCTGTGAGCAATACTGCATTCATTCTTTGCTCAGCAAATAGTGGCCAAGCAATCATGGGCACCCCATGAACCACACTCTCTAGAATTGAGTTCCAACCACAATGACTCAAGAAACCACCTGTGGAACCATGACCAAGGACTTCAATTTGAGGTGCCCGTGATGGAACCACTAAGCCTTGACCTTTGGTTCTGTCCAAAAAACCTTGTGGTAAATAATGTAGTGGGTCCTCCTTTTGTCCACTAAGATAAGCAGAACTAGTTGAATTATTTGGAGCTCTCGCAACCCACAAAAACTTGTGGCCACTAAGTTCTAATCCATATGCAATCTCA